ACCTAGTGATTCTGTGATTCTGTGATATTAAGTTAAAGTCACTAACCAAACTGTGAACAAGTACTCACCTTCATGAAAGAAAACCAATAGTAATGTACCAGCATTATTATGGAGATTCAGGTCCCAGATACACTTCACAGTCAATTTAATTGGTGACCACAAGCTTGAAGAAAGAATTCATTAAAAACCCTGCAGTTTCACACAAGTTCATCTAGAACTAATATTTTGATATCTGAAGAACTGATTTTCCGATGTTCAAGTGGTTTTCAGCATCAGCAAGTAGAGTAAATGCATCAGGTCGCAGAGTGAGGAATAGGGATCCTATGGACTACTTTGATGGCACGAATTTCTAAACATTTGAAAACTAAGCTCTTTTCCCACTGCAGTAACACCCACGTGTCTGTACTCACTTGCACCTGAAGTTCTCGGGAGTGATGTTGTGCTGGTGAGGAAACTGGGAGTCCCACCGCTGGCACTGGATTCCACTCCATATGGTGTTGACTGTGCCACGATAACCTTCACCCTGCCCTTGAATGCAAGTTGACATCTCCACTGCCACCTCTGTGCTGTTCACAACGCTTTCATCTGCAGATCCAGAGAAGAAGTGCCATTTTATTTTCTTAAGTTTGAGCCTGGCTCAGGTTGTCAGGTTTGAATTCTACATTGCAATTCTAATTGTGGTAATTGGAGTTCTTCGATGAAATTGCCAATCTGATGTCTTTCACAGAATAATTTTCTCTTCTTCACATTCACAACATCCATGAAATCAAAATGGGTATTAGACCTTATGCTAGTTTATCTACTTGCAGGCAAAGAATCTATAAAATCTGCAACATTTTGGAGCCTTTGTTTAGTGAGACACCTGACCTATGCTATATCATTAAAAGTCAGGAGATATTCTTGGTTACTCTTTCCAGTTCAACAAATATTTTCTCATTCACTTAGCTTTACACAACCGAGTGACCACTCATGTACACAGTTAAATGGGTTAATATATGTTTGCAGGATTAAAACCCAATTGGTTTTCTCCAAAGAATTCCCAGAATATGAAGTCACAGGAAAAAAGATGCAGATAAAAAAAAAAAAAAACTCAAGACAAATCCTACTGTAAAGTAATGTGCTAAATCTTTTTTGAAACTTCTCTTTTTAAGACTCATTTATTTAGAGAAAGAAAACCAAAACAGCCCAGCTTTTGGAAATTGAAGATCAGTATTCTCTACAGAGAGACAAATGTTTTAAAGACCAACAAATTCATCAGACTCAAGATCTTTTACAGATGTTGATATACTCTACATTCACCCTAGTGTGGGATGCCTTGAACTAAATTCAGAAAAACAGTGGGGTTTTTTAAATGACTCATTGACATAACTTGAAAGATTCTTTTTATTTATTATGCAATTTTCATAATTGTAGATTAATGGCACAGATATTGCATCAGATATATACAAAGCAGTACAAAACTAAATATACTACTGTAAAAGCAACACTTCTACAATGTCCCAAAAAGCTCCCAACATAATATTTTTTTAAGTAACTGTCCATCTGTTGGTAATTGCTATTGTTCACAAGACAAATTTTATTAATTACCTTAAAAGTATTAGTTGGCAGCAGTAAGTATGTTAATAAAGTTTTAAAATTAGTTTTCTTCAAATGGTCCAATGATTAGAACAATATTTGTGTGTTACTCGTAATATAGTTCATTCCTGGTACCTTCAGCCAGTTCTATGAACTTGCAGAGAATATAGATCTTAAGGAAACCAAATGTCATAACAGATGGGATTGACTGATTTGTTATCTAATCTTCTATGTTAAAGATCACTTCCCTGTCACATGATAACATCAAGTTGTGCAGTTGAATTATACATTTCTCCATGCTGGAAAAAATTTCCCTTTTTCTCTTCATCTGGTTGATTTTACATCAGTGTTTCATGGTCAAATCAATTTCCTGTTCTTCCTTCCCAAGGCACTTTGTCTGCAAAGGTTGCCCATTTCAATGGGATTGTGCGTTCCAAGCTCAGTCCCAAGTCAAAAGGACATTGCATTGCGAGTGTCACAAGAAGGTTTCTGCAAGCTGACAAATGCACACTTTCTGGTGGATTTGTCAAACAGGCTTGCAGCTAGTCACTAGATTTTTAATTGTTATTCATTTTATAAATAATTGGACAAAAAAATTACAAATTCATACACTTAACAGAAATACATAGCTGCATATTTCAGGTTTCCATCATCACTAATATATGAAAAAAATTGGAATTATATTCTAAGATAGCTCCTAAACTGATTAGACTGGACATTGCTGTGCCACATTCAAACATATATTAGTCTTTTAAAAAAAATAGATGTAACGCTTTTATCAAAAATTAAAGGGATGTGGTGTGTGCAATTTGGAAGAAAAAATTTACCCACCATGATAAATTTCAGCATACATATAACACCCTGGCTGCATAATATTTCCTAAGTAAATCAATAACTTACAACTGTATAACTCTAGAAAAAAATCCTCTTAAATAGCAGTAATTACATAAAAATTTGACCTAATACAAGCTATTACAAAGACCTTATTTATATCCAAGAAGTTACTATTTCACCTGCAATGAACTGTATAGTATATCTACTCTGTAGTCAGTCATATTAGGGAAAAACTAACTAAGTTGATGTTTACGTACCTTTGTGTGGTTTATGTTTTTTAAAAAAAAAATCACATGCCTGAAACAAAGTAACCAATGCATCAATTTAAGCAAGGTCATAAAGTTATTTTGCCGAGCATTCCTTCTAATATATCTACAGATACAAAGCTTATTGCTAAACCTTACATTATGTGTCTGTCCAGTGACCTGTATCTGTAGATCAGATTTTACAACAATTTGTCCCCATCAAAATATTCTCTTTAAATGAATCAGACAAACTTAACTTTCACATTGTCGTGAATACCCGCACATCCAAGCCTCTACTGGAAAGACTTACTTTATAATGGCTAAGAAAACAATTATTTCAAAATCTGCACTGTGTGATGGATTACCGGCTGCTACTAGTTTGTGGCAGCTCTCAGTAAGAATTCTAGTGATAAAGAGGATCACTAAGATATTTTTATTTCAATTAATAAAACAAGTCTATCATTCAAAAACGTCCACATAACTCTCCCCAAAATCTTCTTGCTACACCACCTACATTTCCCACAAGCATCTAGTTTTTAAACACAAAAAATGAGATCCCAAAATATTTCTGAAATTTAATTCTGAAATTATGAGGGCTTATGCCCTCAGAAACCATTTCTCCCATTCTGGCTCCTGGGTCTCACAGAAAGCTCAAAAATCATCAAAAAAGGCTCAAGCAATCCTTCATTCAGATGGTGATTTCCATGAACAAGCATTATGGGAACAGTCTCCCTGTTCATGTGAATGAATGGTGGGCTGGATGTGCACAGGGACATGCAAAAGCTTGCGGAGTGGTGCTTGCCTCATCAGGCATTACAGATCTGCAGACCTTAAGGCAGTTGCCAAACTTCGAGTGACTAGGTTGTGCAAGACTACAACTTAAATGAGGTTGGTGAAACACTGGCACAGGTTGCCCAGAGAAGTGGTAGATGCCCCATCCCTGGAAACATTCAAGGACAGGTTGGACGGGGCTCTGAGCAACCTGATCTAGTTGAAGATGTCCCTGTTCATTGCATCAGGGTTGGCCTAGGTGACCTTTAAAGGTCCCTTCCAACCCAAACTATTCTATGATTCTATGATTCTATGATCTCTGTTCAGTACCGGTCTTGTTCTTGAGGCTAATCACTCTTGTAACCCACATAGTCAATTATCTAAAGTTTAGTAACTACAAGCACGAACATCAGATGTGCAGACCACTGGTGAAAGAGTCCTGAGAGCACACTCACCAGTTCTCTTACAAGGTGGAAACAAGATGAAGCTAAAAATCAGTAAGGCTGAGTTCCCACCCTTGTCCTAGCAATTCCTCTCCTGCACCTCCAAGGGCTTGTTCCAATGAGAAAGCCATTATGAATTAAGTTAGAAGATGAATTTAAGTTCAATAAGCAATCCTTACTATGTAGGCAAGTACTTTAATTTCATATTAGAAGTGGGGGGTTTTATTCTAGTTCAGATTTTATAGTTCTGAAATGAAATAAAAAGTACTTTTATAGAAGATCACACAAAATATAATCTTATAAAAGACTACTATTTATGATTTATTAATTAAATGTCTCTTCTTATTCCTGTATGAAACTTCATTATGTATGGAAGAATTTGGTAATTGTCTAGCAATATTTTGCTACTTTTGAACTTTGTTGCAATTTTTTTTTTAATATTCTGGATCACTCAAATTAACCATGTAATTCAGACAGCTACTTGAGGACTTCCTGCTAGTAGTATTTGCACTTTCCATGTTCACTCTGAAATCCCCAACCAAAGTGCAATAATGCAAAGGTTTCTTTTTTGCTGTAAAAGCTTCCCTATTTTGATACTTCAAACTACATAACTTTATTAATAAGGGTCAGCTCATAGATACTTCACAGATACTTCAAAATACATAATTTTATTAATAAGGGTCATCATGCATTCATAGATGCTTAAGTAAAGAGATGAAGCATTATCCAGAGCTTCATGTGTAAAGCCACAGATAGTCTTCTCAGTTCTGGTTCTCACAGTAATGCCAGCATGAGGAAATCAGCAGGGGCCTTGAGTCATTCTACAGCTGAACTAAACAGTTAGAGTACTATTTCTGTCTTTAAACCCAATGACTCAGAAGAAAACTCTGCATAAATTTTAGGTCAATGGTGAAAAACCTACTGACTTAAAAGAAGGTAAAGATTTTTCTGGTGTATTCATGTTCTTTCATGGTAATACTATGTATTCGTGGAAGAAAACATAGCTGGAAAAGAGACAGAGCCCTAAATTACTTCATCAGGAAAATTCCTACTTTTGCTTATATCATTGCAATGTCTTTCCTACTGTGTCTGTCAACAAAAGGAAAATGTGCCTTGATTTGTAACAAAAGATTTTAAAAAGTAGATTTTAAAAGATAAGAGGAGCCTAACCCAGTAAAGAAAGTGTTTTAAACACAACAAAGACTTCATTAAACATGATCGATACAATTCTGCAAACATCAGTAAGAAACTTGAGTGGCATTACGGGGAGAAGCTGTTCATGCTCAGTTACACTGCCTGCAGGACCCCTACCTCAAGCAATACGATGAACAGTTCTGGGTGGTGTGGTAGTGGTGGTTCTTTTCTTTCCATGTGTTTCCTTCAATGTACCATCTCACGCTATATGAAACATGGAAAAAACACCCCACTGATCTCTAGTGCTCGGGGTTTCTTTTCGTAAAAACATGAGAAAGTGAAGAAATAAATTGGACTCAAGCTCAAGAATCACAGTACTGAAGAACTCATTGTCACCGAGAACCTCCATACCTATAGTTCATTTATGCTTGAGCACAGAGGGATCTTTCTGGGTTGCTCCAGTATCTACAACTGGAATTTACATCTAAACAATTTTTAGTTTAAATACATTCAAAAATATCTGGATCCAAATTTTCACCATTAAGACTTCTTTGCAGCTTCAGAGCTTTTTATTCTCACTTCCAAAACTATCATAGAAATGATGAAAAGGTTCTGAGAAGGTTCTTTTTTAAGGATATGTAGATTAAGCCGTTGCATACACAATGACTGCTGGACCTCTATTATGCCTCCATGTGAAGCAAGGTGGAAGGTAAGACTTCATCAACTACTAAACATCAGTCTCTTTTCATTTCGTCCTTTCTATCAACATCTTTATCTTACATAAGTATTAAGCTTAAACTGAGTGACACTTTTATTTGTTTACATACTATGATTCACCAAATAACTCTTCAATCAGAATTTCACATTCAAATGGGCAGTTGAAATCTCTGCTTCTGAAGGCTAAGTAATCTAATATTGGTGATTCTTTGCCTTCCCAAAGCTGTAGGCACACTGCAGCAGTTAATTTTATACCTACATTCTCAATTTTGCTGTTTCATTACTTGCTCTTTCCCATCAAACTCAGACACTTGTTGAATCCTCTCAGGGATTTTTGGGCTCCAGTCACCCCTGCCTATTCCCTATGAGTACTGACAGCAAAGGCTAAATCCATGATAAAATCAGCTGGGGTGGTTGGAAAACAGGTAGGCAGCAATCAAACACTGCCCTTACCATAATAATTCCATATAACTCTGCAGCTCTTGAATGACTGACATATGTAGCTTCCTCATTTCTGGACCTCAGCACCTCTCTCACAGCCTTATAGCTCATCCATAGAACTGCAGCTATCTTTTTTTCTTTTTTTTCTAAAGCAGTATTAGCTCCCCACTCCTTTCTTTATTGTAGTCCATGTCCTCATTCATGCCAAAGTAACAGTCTTTTTTTTTTTCATATTTGCTGTCACTGCTTCCATTTCTTCATTTCATCCTACACTTCTTTATTACTGTTATAGTTGTCCTTTTATCCTCTCTTCTAACTAAAAATTGTCTCAAGCCAAAACCACAGACACATATGTGAGCAACTTCAAACCAATCCTGGGGTCCCCGAAGTCTTAATCCAGATCCAATTTTTGCAGCTTGAGCCATCTCTAATCCCTAATTGCTCCTGTCATCTCTTTCTCACAGCCCTGGCTGTAAGCCACAATGTTTTATGCTGCCTTCTGTGCTTGGAAATAAAGTTACAATGCCCTCCTGTCTCTTCAGTCTTAAAAACATATTTGTTTTCTGAATGCTTCCTTCCACTGACTTTTTTGCCGAAGATTTTGTATATGAGCTGTTGTCAGCATTTTGGCTGTAGAGCATACTAGCACTCATGACATGTAGCAAAAGCCACAAGCAGCATGCTGCCTTGTGGTCACTCCCCCAAAGAGAGGACACCTACGTTTTTGTATATGGTCCAAGCACTTGGATTTGCAAAGCATTTTTTCTAATTAGTATTTCTTGTAAAATATATAAACAGTCCTCAGCATAGGAATTAAAAACCTGTGTGAGAATCCAAACCACAAAGCTATAAAGACACATAACTCATGATCTCTTTTTAGTATACTGAGATTGCACACAGCCACAGCTTCAGAAAATGGAGCAGCCACTGAAACCCAGAATGGCCTGGTGTTTTGGGCTCCCTGCTAGGAGGTGGGAAAACAGTTTTTCTATGTGCCTCAAGAAAGACAGAAAACTGAAAACAGGGCTCTGATATTTTGTGTTGGTATTCTGGTCACTGGGCTGGTGATATAACAGTAATATCAGCAATAAATTCCCTCTCTGGGTTATAAAGGAAGGCACTGAGCAGCATCGCATCTATTGTAGATGACAGTGCCATGTGCATGTGCTAAACATCCTTTGAAAATATCTGCTGGATTAAGCACTTTCAAGATCACTACTTTTGTATTCTTCCTCATATAGATTGGTTCAGTAATTTCCACAGATCTACAGTTTTCTGTAGTGAAAACACAGTTTAACATGTGAAATTGCCACTGATCTAATATACTTTCTAGCTGAAGATGAAAGAAAGAATTTCTAGTTAATTCAGTCAATTTTTGCCTAGAAATGAGACAAAAGACTTCCGTCACAACTTTAAAATCATTACATTGTGAAGTTTTTTAAATTTAATTTTGATGATTACCTTTTCTTCAGGACTCTAATTGTGACTTGGGTAGACAAAGGTGACATTACAGTAGTTTGCAGGAGACGTCCCACCCAACTATTTTATAAAGCTTAGACCAGACTGTAGAGACTGAAAGTTACATGGACTGTGAGCTTACGTGACCAACGAAGCCAGATGTGAATCCTCAGAACACTGACACATCAGCTCAGGAAATGCCAAAGGATAAAGGTTTATAAAAGTTGCATTTGTGAAACAGTCAGCTGTAACTTAGGAATTTTTCTTTTTTCATACCAGGGGGGAAAGAACAGATTTAGTATGCTACATATGATTCATTTATTTAGTAGAGAAATGTAGGAAGCACAGTTTATTAAAAACAAACACAAACTAAAAATTCAAACCAACAACAACCCCTAACTTAATGAATCAACTACAAAATTGGAAAGATGATTCAGCTATAGAGCTACACAAGACTGTGTTCACAATGCAGGGACAGACTGAACTTTCTCCATTATCAGAGATTATCAATAACTCTAGATGCAATTACATGCATTAGTACTGTAGTTCGCAGGCAAGACTTCCGACGTGGGTGTGACAGTGGGTGCCTGACACAAAACAAGAAGTAGTGCTGTTAAGCTGCTTCTGTCTCCGGAGAACCTGATTACAGGCATTGCCCGAAGTGGCAAATTGACCTCATTTTTTTACAGTGGAATAATTTTGCTAATTTTAACTACTTTATATTAGATTTACAATGACATATGATAGTACAGAATAAGTTCAATTGCTCTGCACAGGAAGTACATTAAGAGTATTCTTTCTCAACCTTTGGATTCCAAACTATTGTCTAACTGATAAGAAGCGACTGATATTCCAAGACATTGCACTGGCCTAAGATGGAGAATCCCATGCTTCCCCCTTTAGATAGCAACTGCTCACACATAAAGGATCATGTCAGAGCCAAGCCATTCCCTCTTCTCTCTCCCCTCTCCACAGTATTTATGTATATGCTAACATTATAGGAAAAATACAGGATTATATTACGGAAACAGACTTTTTGTGAGACCTAATACTGTCTCTATTTTATCTGGATTTTAGATACCCCGGTAATAGTTTATCTTGGTTTAGATAACAACAAAAACAAGAAAATACTGAAAATAAAATATTTAGTCATTAAAAATCACTCCTTTCATTACTATTATTGTTCTTTTTTTTTTTTTTTAATTCTCACATAAATCCAGTTCCAGGTGAGCTTTATTTTTCTTTTTAATAGAATCTATTTTCTTCTTCTGTTCTCCTCCCAAGAGAGCCAAATGAGTTTTACAGTGACATAAGCTTACTGAAATGACACTTAGAGCTAGATGAAAAGCAGAGTGTCTGGTTTCGAGGATTATTTTTTTTTAACACTTAATTTTGGTTAAAATTGAAGCAGGACAACAAAGGAAATTGAAGTTTCCAAAACTGCAGAACTGAGAGAAACTGACTTTCTCATGAGCTAAGATGACACTGAGTTTCACTGAGCAGTTTTAGAAGCTTCTCTTTGCCTCTACTTCACAGAAAATCAAAATTACCATTTTCCCTTTTCTGCCTGTATTCTTGGGGGCTCCGCCACAGGGCCTGGGCAGGTGAAGCTGACAGGCTTCTACAGTATGGATTCAGCGAAAGTCATGCCTTGTTTTCAGAAATTGTCTTTATTCCCAAGATGTTATAAACAAAGTATTTTGAGTAAAGATAATTAAAAAAATCTGTCTAAGAACAAGACTGCCTTTAATATCATGCTTGTACACTGATTATTTCACATGTTGTCAGTTCACTAAGGGCAAAAAGTTGGACTCCAAATCTGTCAATGAGAAGAATGAGAGATAAGAGAGGAGATTGTCACCTGTAGATCCTACAAGCTGTGAATGAGGCAAGGAATTTCAAGGGTGCAAATTTTGGTTTCCTGATTAAAGTATGTCCCAACAAAACTTAATTCTACCACCTGCCTCAACCCCAGCATTACCATGAAAGTCTAGAAAAACTACTTTACCCAAGTTTTCAAAGGATGTCCAATAGGACCACCTTCCTCATTGTCCCGGTACTGCTTGTTTAAGACAGCTAATTATCATTAGAACAGAGTTGTCAGAGCTACCACTAAAGTTAGCAGGATCTGGGCTTTGAAAATAGCACATGCTGCAGAATGCTCTGAAAATTCTGAACTACAGCATCTCAAAGTGGGCATCCAATATTTGTATACCTTAACGTTACTTTGATTCAATTCCCTGTCTGTGAAGTGAACAAAAACCACCATCTTGTAGTTGACTTATGAAAATAAATTAATATCCTGTGGGGTGCTTTGATAATGGAGTGTTGAATATCACAGAGAAACCCATGAAGAAATTAATAATTCTGTCTTCAACACAAGACTGAATGATGTGCAGGAACCAAGGCCTAGAACCGCACAATGTGTAAGAGGAAAAGGAAGCAACGAGCAGTTGTTGACAGAGAGCCCTGAGCAGGGAAGGTGTGCATGCATCTACTCCCAGCTGTAATGCAGATCCCCAGTATGGCCAAACTAATGCTGTAGATGAGATCCTCATGATGATGTTGCCTCACTTTTTTAGTTCTTGATTTTCCTACATTTTGATGCAATTTCCTCTAGGTAAGATATATACATATTCCAGTGCTAAGTAGCACACAACTCTTTTATTTCCTGTCCCGATTAAATATAATGTCTTTATGGGAGACCCTATTTGAAAGCTACATTTTAAAAGTCAGTGAAGTGCAATGAGTGAACTAGCTGTGGTCCTATATTGCTTGAACTATCTGTGTCCAGATTTTAGAAAGGAAAAGGAAGTAATAAATTTTGCTTGAACTCACCACACGTTTTAATTGCACAGAACTCCCAGGGGGTGTTAGGGTCAAGAGTGTAGCACCACGGTCTCAGCTTGCCATCAGGATTGCGGCAGTAATTATCATCAAAGCCCTTGTCAGGGTATCTGCAAACCACAATGAGAAACGTGTCAGGGAAGTCTTCCTGGCAACACTGCACAGGCTCGTACAAGGTATTTAAAGGACAGTCTTTAGCAGAGGCAAACAAGAACCAGTTCCTATTAACCTTGGGTCTGATCCTGTGAGATGGATGCAAATACTCTTTTAACACTATTAGAAAGCTAATGACATAAAATCTCTTTCCAAATATGCAGCAGAATCAGACCTCCACCAAGGGGATTCCCTGCTGTGCTAATGCACAGGATATTGGATGGGGTAACTCTGCTAATTGCTAAACTCTTGCTCTTCTTGTGTCTGTCAACTGATGACCAGACTCTAAAGCCACTCGCTTTTTTGAAACAGCCCAATTAAGTGTGGATTATATAAACACTGCCTGGCATGTCGGACTCATTAAGAAAACAGGTTCTTCAGTGCAACAGCCCTGGGTTCAAACTGGAAGCTATTTTGAATAGCTATGTTACTAATGATAGCTCCATTTTTGTAATAGAGCTCATTCTAGGTCATGCCCTCATTTCAAGTATTGGGGAAAAAAAGAGGAAAATAAGGAAGTACTTCTGTCTCACTTTATCTCATTAAGATTTGAAATTATTGTGCCATTTAATTGTTTCCACGTTCCTACTGCTGTTATTGAACCGTCAGGCAGATACTCAAGATAAGGAGGTTCTTCATGTATAAATGTGCTATATGAACATCTATAAACTCAAAGAGAAGGAGATAAACGTATAATTTTTTTTTCCAGTGAACACAAATTGTCTTTGCTTTCCAGTTTTATTGAAATGTGTTTGTAAAAGAAACAAAAGTAGATTTGCCCCTGAGGGAAACATGAAAAGTATGTAAGAGAACAACAAAGTTAACTACCTGGGAACCTAAACCCATTTACAACTGCAAGCAGAAGTATTTCGCACAAGCAGAGGAAAATATGATTTACAAGCATGTGTTTTTGCTAAGATGCTTTTTCTATCGAACAATCATCCTGATTTTGACTCATGTATTTGCAACTTGATCTCCCATTTCTTGGGAAAAATTGGGTTCATTCATCTATGCAAGGGACAGGAACAGGTTTTAAGCAGAATTAAAAAAAAAAAACAGCACCCCCCCCCCCCAAAACCCCCACAAACAAAGACCACCAACAAGCAGAAAACTCACAACACTAAGAATTTAAAGGCAGTCAAGAATGTGGTAGGTTCAAATCTAGCAGTAGTACTGTTTTCTGCTAGGTAGAAGAGAAACTGTAAAGGAACAAATTGTGTCCAAGGATTTTTCAATCAGTTAATGTCTAACAATGTAGGAGAAAATTAGATGGCTTTTGCCATTTAGTAGGTGCAGTGATGAACTTTGATGTTGTCAGTACATGTTCCATGTCAAGTAGCAACGAAGAGTCCACAGCAATACCCAGGAACCAGTGTGAGTCCAGGCATGGCAAAATATCTGCAGTCATAGCTCCCAAAAGCCATTCAAAACAACTGGGGATATAAAGAATCCACTTTCTAAAAGGCAAGTGTCTGTCATAAGAGTGAACGCTCTGTCCTTCCTAATATTTTATGATAAGGTCCCACAGCATGTCAAAACCTTGTTATTCACTAACAAAAATTTAAGTATAGGTGTAACAGTTCTTCCAGGATCAAGCTTTGAGTGTCCTTGTGGTATAGAGTAGTGTCCATGAACTCTGTCTTTCCACCTAGTACATCTATGTGCCTGTTGTGGTTTAGCCCCAGCCAGAAACTAAGCCCCACGCAGCCACTCGCTCACTCCCCCACGCTGGGACGGAGGTGAGAACCGGAAGAGGCAGTTTAATAAGTAAAGCAAAAGCTGCGCACGGAAGCAAAGAAAAACAAGGAATCCATTCACCACTCCCCATGGACAGGCGGGTGTTCAGCCATCTCCCCGGAAGCAGGGCTGCTTCACGCGTAATGGTTTCTTGGGAAGACAAACGCCATAACTCCGAACATCCCTCCACCCCTTCCTTCTTCTTCCCCCAGCTTTATATACTGAGCATGACGTCATATGGTATGTAATATCTCTTTGCGCAGCCTGGGTCAGCTGTCCTGGCTGTGTCCCCTCCCAACTTCCCGTGCACCCCCAGCCTGCTCGCTGGCAGCCCAGCATGAGAAGCTGGACTGTCCTTGACTACTTAGCAACAACTCAAACATGAGCACGTTACCAACATTTTTTCATCCCAAATCCAAAGCATAGCCTCACACTAGCTTCTGTGAAGAAAATTAATTCTACCCTGGCTGAAACCAGGACAGTGCCCTTTTCTAAAGCAACAACAGCCTTCCCAGTCACTGGTTATTCCCACAATGTTCAGGCACACCTCTGCCTTCCTTCATAACCAACAAGCAATAGTTCCTCAGTTCCTATAAAACGGGCCAGCTAACACCTTTAAGACACAAATACTAGGGATAAGATAAACAACAGGACTTCAAACTGTTCCACACAACTAAACAGTGAGACTGTGGAGGATTTCCTGAAAGCCCATCCCTTTGCTCTGCACGCTCCTCCTTCGCCCATTACAGTTGGGCACAGACTTCTTGCTTGGACCCAACAAATAGGCCAAGGTTTCCAAGATCTTTCAGAACCCTACATATTTCATTTTTCACCCCTTGAAACTGCAGTAGCTGTACTTCATTGCTGAAACTGAAATGAAGCATTAAGATACACATCTGGTGTCAAAATTGAGACTTTTTCTCAGTTTCTAAGGGGAGCGGGGAAGGGTGTAAGACAAAGAGAAAACATAATCTCTTTAAAGAAACAGATGCTGATCTCTAGCTCTGTTGGAACTAAACTGAAATTTAGTGTCTAAAACTCTTCACCAATATTTCTTTTTGCCTTCTTTTTGTTTTAAAAGATATGCAGGACTGGAAACTTGATATAGTATAAAGTAAATTTTCATACAAGTGATATAAACCAGAGTATTTTAATAAAAGGATACCTGGAGTTATTCAAATCTTGTATGACTTCAACCTTACTTCCCTCCATGCAATAAGTACCTATTTTCACAGCATATTTGATTTTGAGCAGAAAATATGAGTAGAGCATGTTGTTCTCTATGCTGCTTAATGCCTATCTAAGTCGCTATCCTCAATAGTCTTTCTTCTATATGGAGGTGTAATCCTGCCTTTGAGGAGCACACAAGAGAACTGGAGCTTCAGAATACAATTCTGCATCCAGTAATAGCTAAAACCAGGTCATGCAGGAGTTGTTTTGGGGGATTCCTACTGCGAGCTTTAGTCACATCTAAGTAAACAGGTATTATCAATTATCTTCAGTACGTGACCTCCAAAGGGAATATATGTGGAACAATTCATTGAGGTGACAAAAAGGAAAAGTGAGATGTATTCACTCTAAGCTAAAAGTATTGTCCAACAGCAGGCAGACAGAAGTATTTGAAAAAACTACTAGTTTTACCTCTCTTTCTTTATCATGCCAACTGATGAATCCATAAATGAAAATAAGTTTAAATATGTCCAGCTAGTCCTTCCTGTTGTCCAGGTTATTCATATTATCCCTAGATGATATAGTATAAGCCTCTCTAGAGATTGCTGTATTTTCATGGATCATTCATTCCAGACCTCCTCTCTTATTTTCAACTTAAATGACTATTAAAAAAAAAAACCCATACAAAAAAAAGCCCACAACATGTTTAAAAGCTAGTATAATCAAAGTATAACTGTCACTACCTTTAGTGACCGTTCCATGACATTAATTAACATCAGTATATTAGAAATGTACTGGATCCCGGTTACTCTTCTGAAAGGACACACAGATCAGCTCGATCTGAATGGGTTGTTTTTTAATAAAAAAGCATTTTTTTTTACAGTCTGAAAACTTTCAAGAAGATATTGTCTGAAGGAAATCTTTCAAGGAGGAGGACGATCATTCATGAAACTGCAGTTAGTCCGAAAAGTCATTTTGCAAACAATTCAGAATTAATGGAAAAAAGAAATTTCCTCCTGACAGTAAAAAGAAGTTTTATAAATGTTTCACTCCCAAGGAACAAAATTCTTTCTGTGACTTATTTTAGAATGCACAGCAAGTGCATGGCAAAACTCAGGAACAGATTCTCTTCAGTCCCAGTCTGCTAATACAAAATATTTATTGTACCAGAGCTATGGGAGAGCCTGCTATTGTTCATGAAGCAGATCATCTGAGCCAAGAGGAAAAAGAGGTTATATCACATAAACTCCAAAACTACAGATCCTTAATGCTTTAATGAATAATGAGGCTTTCTAAAATCTACCGGTACCTGTATTTCTGAGTATAAACATGGTGCTTTATTTAGTGTAACACTTCAACATATATAAAGATACTTTCAGTGGAAGGTCTCAATCGTTCTGAGATTGTTAATTCTTGCAGTTTTCCTGTGACAGTTTAAGTTTATTCAATCCACTTTTTAAATGGAGCTAATCCAAATTCCAGAGTAAAACTAAAATGAAACTTTAGTCCAGTTTAAGAGAAATACAAAGGCCCTCCTGTGTGGCCTAAACCCCCACACAAAATCCTTCCAAAAGGGTGTATTATAGATGACCCTTTGCGGTTGGGTGAGTTTTACCCTTTAAGAGAAACCCTAATGGGGATGCAATTTGTCTTGCTATTTCTGACTCATCTTTTGGCATTATGTATCTATGCCTGAATTAAAAAAAGAAAAAATCTAAAATATAAATCCATGTGCACAAAATTCTGAACAGAATGATGAACTCCTTTTGCCTGGCTGAAAAAAAAACAAGTAGTGGGCAAACATTTTTGTCAAACAAATTGGATACTTAAACGTGATTACAACAGAAGACCATATACAGCTTTAAAGCTGTTCAATATTTCAAAAAAGCAGTATACTCTGACTTGACAATGTTGCAAGTTTATATTCACTAACTGTGTTAAGAACTCTAACAAAAAATTATGACTTTTAATAATTATTTACTTTGTGATTTCTTTAAGATATTTTAAGCTGACTGAAGCTGCATAACAACATACACAGAAACATTCAGAGAATAATTTTTTACTGTCATTGAAGCTAGGGAGAAAATGTTGATCAATTAATGCAGAGCATGTACATCACTGCACTACACATCCATGGGATGTAGCCACATCTGCACAAAATAGGCTCTAGTCCCCACCCTGCATCTCCATCGTGACTGTAGCCAGCCTGCACACACCACAGGCCAGAAACCCAACCAACTAGAACGGGTGAACTCCATAAATTTCAGTCCATTTTCAGCTAATGCAGATTTTGCCCAACTAGTTCCAGAACGTGTGTAATTTTCAAATTATAACCACATGGATTTTCCTAGTGGGGAGGAGAGGTTACCTCTCTGGACGAAATTTGTGCTTGTGTGGTCTCTGAAGATCCCAGCGCTGACACTCCTTGCCCGACTCAGTGTGATCCATTGGCCCTCTGTAACTCTCTCCATTGCAGGTCATGCATTCAACTAGGAAAGAAAAATATGTATTAGTCATTTATGCTGATGATGTAGTACACACACACACAAAAAACTCCACAATTAAATCACATCCCTACTGTTACAAATTGAAACCAATCTAGAGAACTATAAAAAAGTGATATCTTTTAGTTAGGTTCGTATGGGTAATGTCCTTTGGAATAGAAATGCATCTTTTTCTTAGATCTAATCGAGATGCTTAAATTTGATATCACTTTATAGGACACATGGTTTCGAGGCAGGTAGGCGCGGGCTGCTAGAGGCATTCATGTTCCTGAGACACGGAGACACACATCTAAGGAAAGGTTATTTTTTAGAGGTGATATTTTCTAATTAAGTAACATTCATTATTCTAAATCACTCTAAGTCATAATCTAATAACAGCACAAGTTTACGTCCAGAACAATGGCTGAATCACAATTTCATGCAATACGTTCTGTCTCTTTAAATTCCCAGCACTTTCAGCTACATATGATACTGTTTCTTTTCCATACTAATTCTTTTTGGCAGCCTAAACTATGATACATTTTCAGCCCTGGTTTGGGAAAGTGGGGGGTGGAGGGAGAGTGGGCAAAAGCTACCAAAGGGATTTGAAATCCCTGTTGAAAAAAATATGCTTCATAATTTAGAATGAGAAGTCTTAAAATATAAAATAAATTCACCATAATTAACTATAGACACATTTCTCAGGTGCCCCCTAATTAGAGTAATTTTAACAAAGGATCACTTAGTAAATACTAATTTATGCAATTACAGATCTCACTCCAGTCAAAACATCCGCTACCGAAGTCTTCATGCTGCAGTGAGCTCCAGGACTTATCCCATTTGAAGATCATGCAAATTGATCTTTAAATGTTAGCTTTTAATAGATTTTCAAGCTCCTTGTAAATCACGTTCTTCCTCCCTCCCGCTTCCTTTTCTTCCCCCACCACTGCATAGCTATTGCACATGACACATTAGCAGGAAAATTAAAGGCATCCTATCTTGAGAATGTAAATAGGTTGATTGACTGGAACTGAATTGGCTGATTAGCAAGATTTAAGAGCTTAGTTTGGAAGTTAGCAGAATTAAAAGCCAACAAATGCAATGGTGAATATGAAATGTCTTTCAAATTCTGCGACTTGAAAGTTGAATGGGACTGGATTCATAAAATGTCTTACTTATTTACAGTACTTATTTGAAAAACAAAATGCATGTTTAGATTGACCTTATGTCCTATAATTCAATATCTGTATTTTCAACACAAAGAAGAAGAAAAGTTGATTTCACCACGGAATGGCACTAGATGATTTTATCACATAGTAATACTGAAATTGTTACTGGATTCACTATGGGCTAGACAAGTGAAAAAGGGGTCACGTTTGTGCAATCAGCACACTTCAGTGTTCCCGCTCCTCCGTGACCTGAAAAAAAGCAGCTGAGCCTGAAAGCTTGTTCAGGTCTTCCAGAGCACTGGAACATAACAAGGTCTCCTTTTTCTCTAATAACTGCTTTTCTTACTACGTGAGTTATTCTTGCTGAGAAATCACCTATTCTTCCTCCAAAGTCCATGAGCAAGCGTCACCGAAACTGTTGTTCATTGTGCCAGGCCTGTGTACCCGCGGTCAGCAGAGAAAGGGCAACCTTCCGCGCCAGCCGTGCCGGCTTACCTTGTGAGCAGAGGGGGATGTCGCAGACCTCATGGCGCGTCTCTGGGCTGGTGGTGAAACACCACGGCCCTCCCTCTTCCCCTCGGGGGTTTCGACAGTAGTTTTCCCTCAGGTCTTTACCCCGATAGCTCGAAGGTAAAAAGCTAGTTTTAAAATGACAATCATTACAGTATAAGAGCATGCAAATTTTGGTGTTAAACATACTATTTTTTTACAAACAGAAAATCACATTTCTGCTTCCCTCTCCCTCCACCCTGCCTACACAAACGCACACACCCAAATATGTCTCCATACACAAATACACATCTTCAGTCGGGATTACTCAATCAATGGCCTAAATCTGGGACAATTTGTGCAGCCCGTAGCTTGCTCTAGCGAGTTTTACTCCCATCCCTCGGGCGTCCAGAGCCAACTATCCGCTGTAGAGCCAGAGGCAGCAGCACACTCCCTGCCAGCCCTTGCTGCGCTCTCCTTCGCCATCTCGTAACTACTCCCACAATGGTGGAAGGCCCTTGGAATGGACCGAGTGCGTAAGGGAAAAATTCATTGAGTCCATAGCCACATCAGACCTACCTTTCCTATGCGCATTGCTCACATCTAGCAGGCCGGCTGGGCTTAGTGTGCACCTACTACACAAAGGCCACAAGCAGGGAAACCTCGTCCCATGCCCACTCAGGCAGCAGCGAGAACTGAGCATCGGGAGCGTGTGAGCGTGACCGAGCGGTGTGGCACACCACACCGGGAGGCTTTCACTGCCTGAAACCACAGCCTGCTTTGCATTTCAGCACCAGAAATTTCCCCAGATCCTGCTTTAGCTGTCTTGCTTCATGTTCTACCACAGGAACAACCCCTCCTTAGGGTCTACTACGTATAGACCCACTCATCATTGCTATCGTACAAATTAGGTCATCTAACAGTGACATAGCTGATTTAAACTGTGCTCTCCCTTTCATTATGTTTTCTGCTTTTGCTGTAAGGGGCTATTAAATAACAACACCTCCTAAGATTTTTCCCTGAGATTAGGGGTTCTCAGGCCAGTGCTAAGCACTTTGTTTTTCTTCAGTGATTTAATAGAAATGTGAGCTACTACTATATTTTTTGCCTAACACACATTTTTGGTGTGAGACTCTGCTGCGTATGCTCAGCCCATCAAATATAAACTCTCTAGGGCCAAGGTTTTGTGTTCTTAGCTGTCTGTAAAATTATGTGCTTACCTCTGGAGAAACCCCCCCACACACTGACATACGGAGAGGTATGTAGTCGTGTATGTGTGTGTGTGTGTGTATATATTTTTATATATATATACACATAGGATTAATGCTAGTTATTTTTCCCCACAAACTACAGAATCAGTAACCCTATAATAAGGAGCCCAACTCCAGAGCTGCTCCTGTTCAAAGCCACTGCAAGGGCTCGGGACCACACTCAGGCTGCACATTGCAGACAAAGCTGGTGACACTTAACTGCCAGTTTCATTGCAGCGATGCTTAAACAGCAGCTAAATCTCTGTAGGTAAAAAACACACTAAATTCAGACTTCTGTTCAATTCCATTAAGATTTTTTTGTTGTTCTTGTTAGTTGAAAAGTTGGGCAAAATACATAAGCGAACACACAAAACATAATTCAATTTAATAAATTAATTGAATTTTTGAGCTTTCTAAGATTTTTTCCAGATTTTCTTTTATTCAGTAAATTTAAATTCTGGTGGACATATCACAACTAAAGTGCACCTTTTATTCCAAAAATGCCCAATACTTTATTTTAGGTGTTTTTTGGAGGGATTTGGAGGGGAGGGATTTGGTTGGTTTTGGATTTTTTTTATATGGGTTATTTAATTGCTAAGGGAATTCAAATGTATCTATATTTGAGACAAAAAAAAGGAATAAAATTTCATCTAACATTTTTTAGAAGAATGTAGACATTTGCAGGTTAGGAAACTAAACTAAGCACTTGGGACAGTCTTTATACACAGACACTGATTTAACTTATATACAAAAGTAGAAAAGAAATATATGGTTCCTGTTGTCCCTGGCAAATTCTATGTTACAAATGAATGAATTAATAATTGAAAAAAAGGGAGAGAGATAAGGAGTTAGAAACAAAAAGAAAATTCTGACAAGTGACATTTTAATTATGTTTTATTCCCATTAATGAAATGTTTGAAGTAATTGAAGTGGAAAATACCTCTGTTAACTGCATTGTGGTTTTAATCAAGGCAATGTGGAAGCATTACTTAAAAGTGCTTTTCTCATTTTCGGTGCTTGAAGATAATAATTTTTATGTCATTACTGTTACCTGTAAAGTTGTTGTTTCTGTTTTTCCTGTGTAATCTTGTAATATAAAACTCTCAAATTTTTTTAGCTGAAGACAACCCTGGACAAACTTTTCTGATGGGACATTGCAACCTATGTGTTAATGTAGTATGTGAGTGCACATTAGAAAATTTTATTTCATTTTCCTGATGGAAAATATTTCTGCTCAGAAATTATGGACATTAGAAAATATAGGGAAAAAGCATTTCAGATTATGTCAGATATGCCGTCAGAACATTAAAAAAAACCTCTAAATTAATAGCATTAGAAACTCAAGATGGGTCAGATATACAAAGTGCTTCAACAGGTACTGAAGCAACATTCTGGAGGGAGGAAAATATGAGATGCAGTAAAGACCCACCCAGAAATGGAAGATAGAGACACTCCTAAAACTGTGTGATAATTTAGTTCAACTATATTAGGTAAGGAAAAAAAGAAGAAAGCCAAAAACTGAAGCCAGTAACAGTAATGGTAAAAACATTCAACCACAGCAAAAGTAATGGAAACTAGCAAAAAGCCTGTGAGGTACTATTCTACTCTTTGACCATTTCTCTTTGAAACCTTTTTGCATTGGCTTTATCCATTTAGATAAAAAACTCTTAAGAGGAAAAAAAAATACAATCTTTTAATCTGTACTAGGATGGAGACAAAAATAAAGGAACCCTGATTTCAGCTGAGAGTCTCCAGGTTCTACTGGAATACAAATAAATAAAACCAGAATTTGTTAAATCCAAGCACAAGTTTAAAGGCTGAAGTTACTTCAATTCTTTCTAGAAAGATAATGAAAAATCAGGAAAGTACATTTCTTCCTTGAACATGAAAAAGGGATTTATTTTCCGATGACACTTTGTGATAATCAGATGTTGAGAAAAACTGACCTAAAAATCCTAGCCTTTCATACTAATAAGTTCCAAACACACCACTACTGTCTGCTTCTTCCCATCTCCCTCATGTCTCTGATGATGAAATCATATTTTCTGATGTTGAAAAACAAAATTAGCATGCAGCCACCTCATTTATCCAGTGACCTTTTAAAAATTAAAGTTATTGCACAAGACAGGAGAAAAGTCATTCTCATAAAATTCATCATAGAAGAGCGGCTGTCCAAATGTGTTAGATAAAGCTGTGTACGCTGTACATTAAAATGCAATTTAGTGGTAATATGTACTATCCAGACACTTTGCTTTCTTTAATTACATAAAGTCATATGTATATTATTTAGAATAAAAGCTCATTCTTGCTTAGGCTGTAATTATTGAGAATTCTTTCACTTCTAAAGGATGAAGATTGTATACTTCAAGGTATTGAGTCGCAAGAGGTCATTGCTGTGGGAGCTAATGGCATTTATCATACATTCACAATTAAGAGCGGTCTGGTCCCACACTGAAAATCAGACACACTACCATGTATATTATAAGCAGCCAAGTCCAGTCAAGTCCAAGCCTGAGGCTCAGCTTTGTAACACATCATAAGAAGAGAGAACCCAAGTATCCTTTGCCTTTTAATGTTGTTCCAAGATATCATCTTGCACACTGGATAGATTTGGTCAAGACAGGACTGAGCAGTGCACAGCCCTGTTCCTCACTAGCAATCTCCAGCTTGCCTCCTCCTAAACAAAGTGCTGATGCTGGGAGTCTAGAGCAAAAGCAGCAATGTGGATAGGAAGCTTATGGGCAAGAGGACACTTTGGTTTTGGCTCTTAAGAGTTTATTATCTAAATGGCTAAAGTCAATACAAAAAGGTTTAAAGAGAAATAGTCACAGAGCATACCAGTACTTCATAGTCCTTTTGCCAGTTTCCAGCAACATTTGTTGTGGTTGAATCTGTTTTTACCATTATTCTTACTGGCTTTAGCTTTTGGCTTTCTTTTCTTTTGCTTTAGCCAGTACAGTTGAACTAAGTCGACACTCAAGGGGTAAATACAGCCTCAGTTCCTCACTATATCATGTCCTAAACTCAAAGGTTAAGACCCATACCTGCTGCATCAGTCTTTAGTTATTGCTCATATAATCTGAAGGAAAGGATTTCAATAATCTGTTCAGGCTTTTCCATGTATTTTTTGCCTGGTCTAAGTGCTTTATATAGTTTAACATATTCTACAAATAATAGAGAATTAATAGTAACTATGCAAAATATAGTAACAATAATAATATACTGACCAAACAGGTGGGCTAATATCCCTAATACCCTTAAATTGCTTATAATATATTTTTCAAAATTACCCATTTGTTGTGAGTCAATTAGAAAACAGTGATAAACTTCCAGACCCTAGGCTGACATTATGCAGATGTTTTGTTTCAGCCAGTACCTAAGAGATCAAAAGGATATAAACAGGGATCTGGAGACCCCTGGAAGATCCCTGGAGATTTCTGGGATCGGGAGAATGGCATCTCTTGGGGAAAGGCAAGAATACACCTAAGAGCTCTTGTTGTCTAAGGTCATTTTTCTCATAAATTCTTTGCCTGCTAATAAGTCAAACTGTGCTTTATGGATGCTGTCTGAGCACTACTCCCATTGTCTCTGCTCCTGAACTCTTACCTGTGCTCATGGGGGATCATTGAATTCCAGGCTTGACATTGGATACCACTTTTGGTAACAGATATCGTTCCTTTGTAGTCTGCTCCTTTTCCAATGATACAATTCCTGACGTATTCTGTTGAAAGAAAAGAGAAGAAAATTAGGAGATTGGTTAATGTATGTACAATTAAAGCTTGTCATCAGTTTTCACATAAAAATAATATCTTTTTAATAGCTTTTAAATACTTACTTATTCAAAATACTGTTTAATTTTACAGATACATTCTTGTGTCTTTTTTCCCAAAATATCGATCACTAACTTCCCAAAGAAAGTTACTGAAAATGTTTCCAAAGTGTTTGATTGACCATGTCTCAAGACTTAAGTCCCCTACTCATTAAGAGGTAAATAAAAGCAGTATTAGGTCAATAACATTAATTTATACAACTGAGCTTTTAAGTAATAATCTGAAGTAACAATTCAGACTAGTACATATGACGGTAGGCAAATATATAGCTAGAAAACTGAGCAAGAGCAAGTATGTAGATGAACTTGCATGAGAGCAAAACCAGGATATTTGTAAATAAAACTGTTGGATGAAGCCTTCAGAATGCATAAAACCATCCCATGCCCAGAATGCTCCTACAGCAAAAAAGTCACTGACTGACCTCAGTTTTTTCCCCCTTCCATAGCTGGAAAAACATAATCAGTAAATAAATCAGTTACCCTTCTTTTCATACAGATCAAACGCATGGTCTTGCTTCTTTCTCACACCATTTGTCAAGCTGTTGAAGGATAACCAATGGCATCGTTTTGTAACTCTGTCATAAGCAAAGGCCCTGCAAAGAAAATCTGGATGAGAAAAAAATCTCTGTGTGGTTTATAATAATGACACATGGTCTGCCAAGGAGCATGCAATGACATCAGATTTATTTTTACTGGGAAAGTCAGAGAAACAGCCCAAATTACTATTTAAACCCACAACTGTGCTGACAAGAACAAAGAAACAAAGAAATTAAATTGATGTGGCCATTACATTAAATACCAACTTGGTTGTTCACACTAATCTAAGAGTTCCCTTGTCATTTAAGATCTTTATTTTAAAAGTGAGATAAATGTGACTGAGACAGCATTTGTGTCTCCAGTTGTGCTACTTTCTGGGGAAAAAGAAGGAAGATGCTAAAACATCTTCTTTGCTCTGCTTATAATATGCTTCTGAAATAGTTAAGTATCTCACACTGGTAGCTTGAGGAAAATTCAAGCACAAGGAATTTGTTTCTTGCCTAGAACAACAGAGCTGTATAAAAACAAGATTATTTTTATGAATAATCTAAACTGTGAAAGTGTTCCTACAGCTTTTCCTTGGTTTGCTTTTGTTTTGTTTTTCTTCTCTTATTTTTAACTGCTTTCAAGGATAGAGTACACTCTCACTCTTTTACTCTTCCAGTTTTCCCCCCCATCCCATCAGGTGGGAGTGAGTGAGTGGCTGTGTGGTGCTTAGCTGCTGTCTGGGGTTAAACCATGACAAATGTGTGCTGAAGGGGGGGAGGGGGCAAGACATACAAACAGAAATCAGAAGAGTAAAAAAACTTTTTTTCAATACTTTAAATGAAATGTGCAGACCATTTTCTCCTAACATAATTTTGAAAGGAAAATTCTTAAGTGTAGGTAAAATATTTTAAAGGATTCTAAAAACACAGTTGACTGCCTGGGTGGGGGCAACAGTTACTCCAATAAGAAAAAAAAAAAACAAAGACACAGTGAAAATTCTTTTTTCCCTTAATTTCTCAATAAAACCAAGTAACAAATCACTGACATGATACTATTGTCTCTAGCCCACCACAAAGTCTACATTTCTGTCAGTCATCCCAAACCTTCTGAGATAATTTATTCTGACCTGAGAAGGCATTTTAAAAGTACTTGATAATATCCAAAAGACACACAGCTTTCCCACACTTCAACCATACTTTGTCTGTGCCATATTCCAGAGTACTACATCCCCCAACTCAAAGATCTTTGATCTTCATTTAATTCCCCTCTCGCCATACAAGTTTTTCTGTGTGAGATCTTGCTGGCTTCAGTTAAAATTACTACAAGATACTATCCAACCTCCCCATTCTTCTCTCTTTCAAACATCCTCTTCATTATCGTTTCCATCACCAAACAGATTTTTCATCCAACTGCTCTCTACTCTGTTGACTCCAAATGTTTCCAACCTGCTAACCTTCATCCTTCTGCCCTGGTTCAGCCTTCTGTTCTCTCCTGGCTAGTTCTCAAATATGAACATATCCAAGTGCCTCTAACTCCTTCTTCACAAAAATATCCTTGACCTTTCCTGCCTTTCCAATTGCATTCTCTTTTCCCCTCCTCCCTCCTAAAGTGGGAATGCAGAATGCACTGTTTACAAACATTTCTTTCAGTTTTTGACTTTCAGTTGCCTTTTGGTTTCTTTCCAGTTTGGCTTCAGCCACTTCTGCACATAAAAGTTTCTAACAATCTTCTCTTGGACCTAAATCTGCAGGGTTTTTACACTTCCAAAGTCAATATATTTAAGCAAATTCTTGGACTTTCTTCTACTGATACTGCTGATCACAACAATTTTTGTTGTTGCTATTTGTACTGAGATAGTCGGTAGATTTTCTGATGAGATACTGGAATCCTGTGGTTTATCCTGGAATTTCTTTCCAAGTAAATACAAAGACACTCCAGAAATTAAGCAAATAACAAAGATAGGCACAGCTTCATAGGTAAGAAAGAGACATGTCTGCAAAAGTCATCTGCATAGCCGATAAAATAGTAACTATATTATCTTTTTCACATCCATAAGAAATGCAGTGGGAAAAGCTGCAAGGATGACTGCAGGAAAAAAATGGGAGTAATGGACTTCAAATGGTGGTGGAACAAAGGAATAACAGCTTAGCAGCAGGCTAATAAAGCTGATAGAGAAAGCAGAAAATGATGCACGGAGAGTTACGAGGTCAAAAAGACAAGGTAAGTGAATCTAAAGGGTACTTTGATGGGGTATTGTACGAATAGTGTTTTAAAGAAGAAACAAGTCTAGATAAGGATCTTGTAACTGAGTTGGAAATGACCAAGACCTGTGTAAGCATGATAGCAAGGGAAAAGAGGAAAGGTCCGTTCTGAAAAGTAAGATATATTAGCTCCAAAAATAAGGAGTGGCTGACCCTTTGTAAATCCATAGCACCTGGAATCTGATACTTTACCATTTTTTGGTAGAAAACAAACCCAACATCCTTCCTGCTTTTGTACTTCACAGGGCACAGACCCAGGGGTTCTCCCCCCAGTGTTATTGTCACAATTATGTTTACAAAGTATTTCTATTTTATTTGATCTTAATACTTAAACAAATTGAGTTTACATCCAGAAAATGAAACTTCAGTGCTGTGACCGAAATATTTCAAGTATTTAAAATGCCATTTTTTGTTACTTCGCTTCTTATTTTAGAACGTTTCCAAAACAACCGGTAAACTAATTGGTTTTAATTTAATTTGGCAACAAATTTCACCTTGTAGTAACCATATGCTGGTATGAAGTTAAAGACTGGGCACCCTAGGAACAAAAGGGAAATATTATTAATCTCTGAGTCCTTTAAAAGGGAACACATGTCAAATATGTGTTTACAGTAGCATCAAAGACCTATGCACTCTACAACAGGACTTATCTGGAGCCAAATGGGAAACCACAGGAATGTTCCCAGATACAGAAAATCCCTCTTGCTCTGCTGCATAGTGGTAGCACAGGCAAGACCTAACCACCTGCACCTCTGCTGCTGGCCTTCCTTGCTAAAAAAGTGTTGGGGAAAATTGCAAATTCAGAGCACGATTCAGTCAGATTCGCAATTCTTTTTCATCTGCAGTGCAAAATAGTTACATGACTGATTCCAATTCTGCTGTCTGTGAGTAGGATTCTTCCAAGTTGTGTTCTTAAAGTCATGGCTCCTGTATGTTGCTTTATGACTGATTACTGCAGAGAGAATTTGCCCCATAATCCATTAGACACTGTCCCAATAGAAAACATTCTTCATAGATAGAAAGTAATAAAAATTCAGACACATTCTAGATTATTATTAATGTAAAATAGAATCAACAAATATATTAACCTACTTTTTATTTTCAGACATAAAACATACCAGGCAGAGCAGCTACAACTAGTTTGAGACAGTTTTCCTAAACAGATGTTGAAATACAGAATTGTTGTTTGCTTGGTGTCATTCAGAACTTTTATAGGCTTTCAAATCTAATTTTATAATAGTCCTCACTGTTGACCATCAGAACTCAGAGATCTCTTGCCGTATTGAGTACAACCTGATCCACTTGGCAATGATATCAGTGGAAGCTTTGTCAATAAGAAAAGAAGTGGCTTTGCGAAAATTATTAGTGCCTGGAAAAATTTTCTAGCAGAAATAAGTAAACTCTGCTCATTGTTTACATATATAAATAACCAAAGTACAGAACAATACAAACTAGATTTTGCAACACTGGAATTAAAGGCTTTAAGAAGGATTAAATTACAGTCAAAGATCTTTTCTGCCAAGGAAGAGCTTTTGTTATCATATTTGGTCTAGCTTCCATTTGTAGTGATTGTCAAAACATTTTTATATTTCAAGATCAGGCTCACATTTAGCACAGTACTCACCAGTACAGAAGTCAACCATTCTCTCCAAGATTCTCCTGCATTCATGTCCTTTCATTTACTGCTAATGGTCTAGACTAAGACAGGCCAGGAGGATAATTTAAGTCTAATACATGGGAAAAATAATAGTGATTTGTTCCAAAAAATAGTAGAGAATATGTACAAGGCAGACAAGCAATCAGCTGCATGATGTGTTTCGAAGAGACAGCAGATGCTGAAGAATAGCTATCTTTTACTTGTAATGACTGCGCAGCCCAGAAGGTTTGATTCCATTGTATCAGATTCGTAGTACTTGCCAGTGAACTTCAGCAGTGCATGTATCTGTGTTCCATGTGTGAGGTTCCCATTGATTTCAGTGGGAGTAATGTGCAAAGAATGAAGACAGAATATGGTCTGAAGTGGTGCTGAAATACTGCAGCTGTGATGTGTGACAATAACCATTTTATAAGAGACATAAAAATCTCAGAAATGTTCACCGAACACTACAGTGCAGCACAAGTCATCCACATCTTAACATGAGTACATTTTTTCACCTATGTTATGGAAAAGATTACAACTGGACAAGCTAGGAAGACGGAACAATTCTGATAAATCTTCAGAAAAGACTGACACTCTCTTGACAGGTAGAACAAGATCATGGAAATCAAAAAAGCACAATTTTATAGGTTGTCCTCAATAGAATCTACCACTGATGACAATTACAGACAGACATTTGGCCAAAGAGTATTATATAGATACCATTGCGGGAGGCGGGGGAGATACATAACTTACTTGCAAGTGAATGAAAGGCCTTTGTTCCTGCTGCACCTCTTGGCACATTGCTCAGTCGTATTTAACAGCTTGGTCTTTACTTCCAGTGTTTTGTTTATTTTAATGAGCATCAACTCTCCTGTTTTTTTGAAGTCATGAAGAGGATTTCTCCTTTTTCCTTTACCCTCTAAGAAAGAAGCAAAGAAAAAAAAACCACAAACCACTGTAAATGCAAGTGCTTAGATTAAAGATCATTAGATCTGAATAACAGTTATTAAGAATTATAGGAACACTGGTACCTAAAGCATAGAGAAATTCACAAAAAGAACGTACAAGCAGATACCTGAGAAGAATAGATTATTTTAGATGGTGATTTCTGTTCTTAAAAACAGGATTGGTAGGAATGATAACAAAATTAATTTAAAAAGAAAGTTTTGCATAATGCTGGAAAAGGGTAAGAGGAAAAAGTTTTTCACCCCTTGTAAAATTTTTTCAGAACCTGCAAAATGTGCCTGATAATATAATCTGAGATCTTATGACTATTTCCATGAAAAACTTAAGTGAAAAAGATGAACAAAGGTCTTTTTTGCGTGGACAGAGTATAGTTACAATCAGAAGGAAGAGCATATAAATGTAATAGATTCACAATCCAAATGTGATAGACTGTTCTTAAAACAACAAACTTTTTATCGCAAATTGAGAAAAGAATTGGAGCCTGGAAGCGACACAAAATAATCCTTTGTCCTCCCTCTGCTCCAGCTGAAGACTCGGTGTGAGTGTTGGGTCCTGTTTAGGTGTGACTGAATTAAAGTTGTTAGCCTACAGAAAAAGAAGATGAGAGGCAGAGGCCATAGCATGGAAATAGTCTGCGCTGTTGCAAAGATTTCTGCAAAAGGAACGCACTGATCTGGTTTCCATGTCTCTGTTGAAAAGTCCAGAGGAAACAGTATCAAACAGAGCAGGGAAGATTGGCTAGAGATGTTTGGCTAAAGTGCAAGAGGAAAAGTCTTTGATTTTTGCAAGAAAAGTCCACAATTTTCCCAATATGCATGTATTTTATTTTTTTTTTCCATAAAAACCAGTCTGCCAGTGTAGGCTGCTCCATCCTCAGTGAAGGCAGATGAGTACCTCTGGAGAGTGATTCTCCCTGTTCTGACGGATGAGTATCACAGAGAGGACAAATTGCCCTTTGGATGTATTTCTCCTATTTCACTCAGTGATCCCGGATGATCTTTTTGGATTAGATGGCTTATCCAGGTAAGGCTAGGTGAATGAATCTTTCCTTAATTTACAAAGTAGGCAATAGCATTTTTCATAACTTCTTTCAATATAACTGTTTTCTCAGCTGTCCTTTCAATAATAAATAAATAAATAAATAATAATAAATAATAATAATAAATAAATTCAATAATAATAAATAAATGAAACCACAGCCTAGCGCTCTATTATCATGAATAGATAATTCGTCATGCAAGTGCAGAGTGCACGTAGGTCAGTAAGTTTTTGCTTGGTGCACACTGTGCAGGATCTCAGAATAACTGTAAATTGCAAATGCTGAGGCTCTGAAGGAGTTACTGACAACTCCACATATTCATCATAGAATCACAGAATCTTTGGGCTGGAAGGGACCTTTAAAGGTCATCTAGACCAACCCCCTGCAGTGAGCAGGAACATCTTCAACTAGATCAGGTGGCTCAGAGCCCCGTCCAACCTGACCTGGAATGTTTCCAAGCCAAAGAGGGCTTAAGGGTGTTCCCTTTGCAGAACTTCCATCCTGATCATTAAGTGAGCTCACATTTTTACTGGATTCAGCTAAATCACACCTCTCAGTGGTGAGTTATCCCTAAGACGCCTAAAAATACACCAGAGATGTTTAAATGAGCTTTCATCAAGATTCAGCCTTTTTAAAAAAGAAAATCAGAGGAGCAGAATATCTGTGCTGTAATGTCCCTATAAAATAACCTTCACCCCCTCCTACTCTTCTTGTTTTTGAACTGCTGAAGGTGAACTGTGCTATTCCCCTGCACCTAATAGCTCACAATTTTAAATCCAACTACAAACATTTTCAGAAAAAAATAATTTATTTACCTCCAAATCCATGTTGTTATTATATGAAGAAGCTTTTGATTAAAAGATCAGTTGTTAATAGTTTTGGTGCTGTGTTAGGGACTGATATCAGCTCTACAAGCATTTTCAGCTCTGTATTTGTGCACATGCACACAAAATGAATGTTTAGGGAAATGCTGAGGACACTCTTGTCTTAAGTACCAGCACTCTGTTACTGGAAGCCGTTGTGTCTATACTGAAGTTGCTTTATATTTTGTACCTGACAGAGCCAAAGCACTGAAAAAATGATTGCATCTGCTCTTTAAGACAACCACAGAAATACAAGTCTTCTGTAAAGCTTTCGTGGTACATTACTCAATCTATTATCATACAAGATGTATTTGTTAGTTCTATGTTGTCTCAGCCAAGACTTTCATGTCAAATGGAGGTAAGAATCTGTGCAGAAATATCAAAATATTTTCTTTCAGTTCCTGATGCTAACATTTCCCATCTACTGATAAGTCTCGTTATCTTAATCCCTGACGATAGGAGCTTCTTAAACTCACCAGCTAACATGCAAGAATATGATTTTAAAAAATCAAGAAATGCTTTTCTGACTGAAAAACATGGTTCACAGTTGTGCTTTTTTTTTGCTTCTTTTCCTAGCAGTTGTCCAAAGAGGATTATGGGTTTGATCTTGCATTTAGCAATTCATAACAGCCTGATTTACTTCAGCTTTCAAACAACAACATTCTACGACTTGCCTATAATCCAAAAGGCAAAGGGCCAAATGCATCTCTGGTGTGACTGTTAGAACCATCAGAATAATACAAAGCATTACTTTTACAACTCTAACAACAACAACATCAAAATTGAGCTTTTTTAATTCAGTTTAGGTGCATCTATTATTAAAATATTAAATAAAATAGTGCTCTAGAAATGTTCTACATTAAAGGTTATCATGCAATATGCTATAACTAGTGTTCTCTAATTTGTGATAGTCATTCATTTCAGCTTCCTAAACTTTGATTAATCAGGAATTTTAGTTATTTTGTGGGCCATGTCCTCTGATGTTTCTTGTGGTTGAATATTATATAGCTAAGGAAGTCTGACATTCCACTTAAATTTGAAAATAATAGCAGGTGATTCAAACACAAAAGAATCCAGTCAAATATGAATCAACATTTTTTTCTTCAACAGAAACAACAATTACCTAAAAATATTTCCTTGTCTGTCTTTTAAAAATTTTAAAAATGTTGAGGGTGGTGTTTCTTTCTGCTTCTTAACAGGATAACAACCTTGGTTGAATAGAAAAATTAAGAGCTCAGCCAGTGCCCAAGAAAATTGGAACTACCACATTTGCTCTAATAGGATGCAGCGTTGGGCATGTACTGCATGACCCCATTTGGGATTTCCACAGTCTCCCTGCTGGAGACCTTTCATGTTTTAAATATTTACTTCAGGAAAAAGGTTCCTCACAGTGAAAGACATTTACCTGGGAGCTACAAGAACCCAACTTTGTGTTCCCTTACCACCTTTTTCATATGAGGCTTCTGTATAATCTTCTCAGACATGAAGTATTAACCAAGATTGCTCAAACTATAGAGCATCTGGGGAAAGGATTTCCAATGATACCTCTTCCTGGAGTAGTTCCAGTCCATGGCAAATCAATGATCAGTGATAAAGAAAATTACCATTCTGCAGCATTTTAGTGAGAAAACTCACTAGGAGGTTGCAGTACCTGTGTACTAGAACCTACTTAACTGTGATTTTAATTATATTTATACAAAATAGAAGCAATAAAACAGCAAGTTCTGAGAGTAAATGGACACCATAATATCCAACATCACAGAAATTAAAACACTCTCTTGATTAACAAGAGAAATAGGTTTGAATCAGGAAAGGTGTTTGTATTTTGATCTCTCCCACTGTACAGGTATTTTCTAACCATTGGGCTAATGAGAAAATGGCAGCAAAGTAACTTCCTTTTTTTCTTCTGGCCCTGTGTCCCACACTAAAAAGAGTTTTGGACTCTGACACCACCACACCATTCAGTCCTGAAACTACCTGATTATGTTCTGTATCTCAATTATCTGTTACTGAGCTATACAGGAGTCAAGAAATTCAGTATAAAACTGATTTCAGGCCATCTCGAGTTCTAATACATAAGCAAGCCAAGTTTCAGACTCTTGGGTCTTGGTCTGACCACAAAAAGGATTTGTTTTTGCATTAGCTGTTTAGTAGTAAAAAACTAATACAGCCAGTATGACACTATTGTTATGGTAACCAAAAGAGCACACAGGACATCAACAGGCCTGAAGATAATCTTTGTCCATTATAATGAGATCAAAACACTACTTGTAACGTCTACAGCAAAATTTTACAATTAAATTAGCTGACTTTATCTACCTCATTGGTAATCCCTTTTTCCTTCCTCTGCCAGTCCAGCTTTTTCTAATATAGATGGCTATATTTTAGGCTTTGGAGTTAAAATCTTACAGACTACAACTAGAGCATACTGGCTGTCTCCCTTAGAAAAATCTCTACTTTTATGGTCTTGTCATAGACCCTACATAGCTTTTATTAAACAGGAGTTATGATGCATTCAGTATGTCAGCTTCCAGGCTCTCCAAGTTTCACTCTAGTCTGTGCTATAGTTTGTGCTTTCTTAAAGAAACGCATCGTGAAGTCTTGTGATAATGTGAGAAGTCTCATTCTTTTTTTTCTTTTCTTTTTTTTTCATCCAACTTTATTATACAGAAAAATCTCATCAAAACTCAACACCAAATTTTCCAAATGAGAAGAGAAATATATTTAAATGAAAAGTTTGTATTTAAATCAAGTTTTTTAATGCAATCTTGATGGTTTGGTATGGAGTTTTATTTCCATATTCTGTTTGTTTATACTTGCAGAACTTCAGCATTTTACTAAGTAGGTGTTTGTTTTGTTGTGCTAAAATTTCAATGTCTGGAGTAATAAAAACATTTTTTTTCTATTATCATAGATACTGATGTATGTAAGTTGGATACAGGTCTTAATACTGTGGGTGGAAAAAAGACCTTTTATAATTTTCAGTTTTGAAAAATATATGGACAGTCACATAACAGCACCACTGTTCATTGTGTTTGTTAAATGTCACAGGTAAATTAAATCTTTGGGGGGAAAAAAAAAATCAAGAAAATGAAGATACCTAAAGTCCTTAGGCTGGAAGATACTGTCAGAGAACTGCAGGAATCAACTGCAGTCCTTCCAAATAGTACAATGAAATGCAAAATAAGATGGCACTGGGGAGAAAAATTGAAAAGGAAAATTGTCCACACTGTGTAGGAAGCTCAGAGAAGCTGAAGATTTAAAATATATTCCAGTAAAGAAAAAAATTCATATAAATTGATATAATCATTTCAGAAATACAGAAGAGACATAGTCCTTTTTTTTAGTATCTATTGGCATTTTAGATCTGTTTCATGTTTTGCATCATGTTTTTAATGAAATGAAGTCACTTGACCTTGAGCAGTTAACAGATGGACTAATTAGAGATTGAATTATTTGTGTTATAGCTGATAACCAGGTCAGAATGTCAAAAAGAGATTAGCTGTTAACTTAATTTTGCAAACATCATCACTGCAAGCCAAAGTAAACTAGATTTCCTCAATGAGTTAGAAAAAAAATTAATGTAAGAACTGAATTTCATGTGACTTAAAACTTAGGGGGAAAAAAAATCTGAAATCTACCACCATATGAAAGACCTTAAAAAAATAAAGAGAAGAAAAAAAGCCCAACCCTAAACATTTTTTTAAATAAGTGCAGGAAAGCACAGTTCAACACAATAAATGTTGCAAACATTTTATCAGGGAACACCATACTCCACAAAAATTGTGTGGTAACACCCAAGCAAAGATATTCATGAGTATGTGTCCAAATGGAACAAAAAAGAAATGAGCAAATGTTAGATCTCAGTGAAATGGACAAAGCAAAAATCCGCAAAGCCATGGATTATCACAGTGTCATAAAACATTTTTCATAAAAGATATCAAAGCTGAATGCTTATCTCAGTATAAATAGTGACAATTTAATATGAAAATAAAAACTGAAGTATGCTTAATTATGCGTAAAGTTGTATTTGGCAAAGCTTGTGTAAGAAGAAAGCTCAATGGGTAGGGTTTGAAATAAAGCAACAGTTCTCAGCATAGCTGGGTTGAAGAACAGTATATAAATGCAGTAAAGTGTTTAACTCGTCTATAAAACATGGTTCAAGGGATACTTTTAATTAAATTCAAGATGCTTTTCAAAGGATATAAAACATCAAGGGTAAATTGCATATTGGTTCAGGCCTCAGTGTGACAGTGTGAATATACTGGCTTCATTAAGAAAAAGAAAACCAAAACTTGACCAGATGGTGAAAGTAGATGTTACTAAATGGTTTCAGACACCACATGCTTAAGTTAACAGTATGGTGACAGTAATAAAAGAAAAGGTGGTAGAAGTGAATATTGATACTAAAATCATTGATAAAGTCATCAAAGTATTGTTATCTATGAGAATAGTTAGGAAGCACTTTTTAAACGAATACATTCAAGGCAGTTTTCTCTTTTAAATCAAGTCCTAACAAAATCACTTGGATAAAAAGAGTTAACGCTCAGCACTTGTAACTTACTTTTAACTTACTTTCATTTACTTTGACTTCTCCTTATGCCTGTTTCAGTATCAGAAATGTCCAGATTCCTGGCCAGAATGCAAAAAAGTGAACACCTTTTCCAAATGACTTCTCATTTGGAAAAAAAAAAAAAAAAGAGAAAGGAAGAAAGAAAGACCAACATAATGAGAAACTGAAACAATTCTGAAATGTGCCCAAGAACGAACTTTGCAGATTGAACAGACTTAGATGCCAGATTAAGTTTAATGCAGTTATTTATGTAAGAAAACCATTTGGCGTGAAAGAAGTTTACCAACCATACCCATAAAAACTGCAATCAGCCGTATAGATGGAAAGTCACCAAAATAAAACCAGCTGTCCAAGGAGGCATCTCTAGCTTGTCACAATTAAACAGTTTCTCACAAAGGTATCAGGAGGATGATATGGTTATTTTAACTTCTGAAACTTTATTTTCTTGGCAAAAAAGCCACCATGGAAAAAAAATCTACAATTTTTAGAAAGTAGTTTGAAATATAGACATATACTATACAGATAATTTTTTCCTTATTTTTACATTGGCTTTCAGTGTAGTTGTTGAGCAGTTTCAGGAAATGCAAAAAGTTATTTCTTTTTGGCTTTACATTGCATATTACCACTCACCCCCCCCCCCCCCGTGCACACACACCCCTTACTAGCAGCTGCAAAGATTGGCATGTTACTTGGAACCCAACTTGATGTTTATGCTAAGTCCTGCCTTTGTAACCCTCTCCTGTAGACAATATGAAAGCACAAGAAGCTAAGGATAATGCTAACAACTGATAGTATATTCTAAAAATGGATGGTAGATGCAAAAGAACAGCTCTTTTCCTCC